AGTTAAAACTGAACTGAAGGTGATCGGACATACGTCCGACCCAAACTCAACGTCACCGGACATTTTGTCAGACGGCCCTGTCAAAGATATTTTAAGCCTGAATTATTGATGGTCATCGAGTTTTAATGTAACTTCTTGTGTTGACTATCAAACATCCACAATGTCAATGTAGCGAGTACCAATCAGTGTCACCAGTTTCAGCTTACATCCGGGGAATATGAAATGAGCATAGAAACATATTAACAAAATAAGCTACACTAACAAGTAATGAAATATATTTTATATCTGATTATCAAATTTACGTGGTGTTTCCACAAAAAAAGCTATTATATGTTTTATCGCCATGCAAACATACAAAGAACTTAAAGTAAAGTAAATTCGACTCGTAAAAAGTTATTCAAGAAGTTAAAATCTTGCTTCATTGCATCATTTTATAAACCTAATTAGGTCCACTGACAGTGGCAAAGCGAAAAGCTTTCAGAAAATAGATTTAATTCTTCTAACTAAATAAAATTAAAAGAAGTGTTTCCGGATTTTAGAAAGCTATGCACCGTACGAAACAATATCACGATAAAAATTTCAACGCGAAAAACGAACACAATTATTTTCAACTTATGTGTCACTATACACGGGACCTATCAGCCGTAAATTTAGACGAATCTTCAGAATTTTAAGATGTCAACAATGTTAATTTGAAGGGGAAAGTTGAAAAGAAACCAAGCGAACGATACTCAATAGCAAATTACTACCGATGCCAGCACAACACGTTTAAACGGGTGTTTCGCGTGGTGAATATCTCATTTCGTATTCACCGGATGTGACGTACGTTGAAAGTGGTGACCACTGGTGATCCTGACGGTTTACGAAACGAACAGTTACGGCGTCGCTATTATTGTTAGTTACCACACACTAATTGTATGAAGGGAGTAAAAAGCTGCTCATGCATGTTGTGCATGTTTATAGAATTTGCCTATAATACATGCCATACTAGAAATGTTTTTAACCTCTCTGTTACCTAGGCTGTGCGAAGAAGTTTATCTGGAAACTGTCGAATATCTATAGTAAAATGCCTTACTATCGAATGTTGTGACTTCAGAAAAATCCGTCTCACTTTTGTCGACGTGAGTCAAGCAGCTCAGCCATCTATCAGCCTCACTGAAACACTTAAACAATCTCTCCTAATTCCCGAGTTCAATCCGAAGCGAGGGGAGTTTGTGTCTCAGCAAAAAGGCAGCGTTGTTAGCAGTGCTCCGAAATTTGACGTGTTGCGTGGTAACGATGGCGAAGACGGTGACAGTTGGTCACTATGTGAAGACGATGATGTCGAAGAAGGAGAGGAACTTAATACGAATGAGGGAATCAAACCGATTCCGTCTTCACCACGGGTTATGAAACGTGAGCTAACGGTTCTGTAAAGCCGGTTTTGCACTGGACGGAAATTTGTTTGTGGAGCGGAATTTTTCTTTGTCTTTTTCTAATTGTTCCACCCGAGAAATCACCAAGGAAAATTCCGCTCCGCGCGCAAAATTCCGCCTAATGGAAAACCGGCTTAATGTTTTAAACTTGTATGTGTTAACCCAATCCTTAAGGCCCTATGGACAAACATCTTCGACTGCTGCATGGGACAGGTCACGTGAGTAACACTATCCATCGGATAGTTATTTTTAACCGTTGTAAAAAAAACTTTTATTAAAAGCTATAATGGTACGGACCTGCATGGACCTCCCAATTTTTAAACAGCGACTTAAAGGAACACTCCACTAAAAATATATTGAGGTGCAAACAAGAGATTGTACTTACGTTAGGTTATTTGCGAAGTTTGAAAAGACAATTCTTTTTAGGTAAGGAGGAATTACTTATCGAAGTTTGTAAAATCCATTATTGAACGACGCCATTTTGTATTTCTCAAGCAGACGCGTAAGGCCGGCCAAGGCCAGCGGTTCCACAAAAAACGACGTCACTGACTGTGCTTTCATCCTTCGCGCGAAACTTCAAAAACTTTCATTATACTGTGGTAGTGTTCACTGTTTAATTAATTGTGTTTAATCGACTGTGATAAGACTAAATGCTTATAGACATAACTTATTATAGACTGCCAAGTGGTCCACCTAAAAGCATTTGGTTGCGAAATATCAGGGACAACCCGCGCAAGTTCAACAACTCATTTGCATGTTGTTTAGATATTTTGTTAATTTCACAGTCGATTTAACGCAATTAATTAAACAGTAAACACTACCACAGTATAATGAAAGTTTTTGAAGTTTCGCGCGAAGGATGAAAGCACAGTCAGTGACGTCGTTTTTTGTGGAACCGCTGGCCTTGGCTGGCCTTACGCGTCTGCTTGAGAAATACAACATGGCGTCGTTCAATAATGGATTTTACAAACTTCGATGAGCAATTCCTCCTTACCTAAAAAGAATTGTCCTTTCAAACTTCGCAAGTAACCTAACGTAATTACAATCTCTTGTTTGCATCTAAATATATTTTTAGTGGAGTGTTCCTTTAAATTTATAAACACTAAAGTTTAATCTGGGTTATAGCAATTAACGGACGTTAATTTTAAGAAAGATGAAAAAAATCACTATCTGGTGGATAGTGCTATTCGGCCTTCGTTGAACCAGCCCCGTAATTTAAATAGACTTTCCTCAGAATGGTGAATGCCCCTTGTTCCAATTTCGAGTAAAGCGATCTCCATGCGTTTCATTTGAAGCGCGCGGTGATTTATATTCAGCCACCCCGCGCGCTTCATCTTGTGTCAAACTGGCAGTGGCGCGACATTCAATGCTTTGAGGGATGGCCACTTTAATTATATGTTCACCTTTATGGTACTGAGCAGTCTTCGACATTGAACAATAAGAAAGATATTGGCTTAATCGTCTGATTCTTAGTTTGATTGTAAACTATTGCCATATCCATAATTCTACTCGTCGTTAATTACCCGTCATTGACTGCAGAGTGTAGTTGAATGCTCCGAAAACAAAACCCGCGTCATCACATTTTTGTTACCCTTTAAGGCGGTTTTCCAGTCCTCGCACGAAGCTCCTCGCAGCTCGCTGCGAGTGCTTGCATCTAATTAAAATGAACTGTTTAGCATTGTGATTGGATGAAAGTGCTCATACATCACTCGCAGCGAGTTGCGAGGAGCTTCGTGCGAGGACTGGAAATCCGCCTTTAGTCGATAGTATCTTTTTACGGTGTAATTGCTGTGCTTTACGCCAATCTTAGATAAACACGTGCTATCGATCTATTCTGCGTCCAGTGCCTTTTCTAAAACTATAATTTTTTTCATTGCAGGCAGTTTCTCACCGTTGAGCTCACTAGGCGACCTTGGTCGGTTGTTGGTTAATATTCAGGGCGCTTTTAGTCCAAACTGTGCAAACACGCCGCCTGATGAATCTCCACTTAAAGATGACAATGATGAAGTCAGCAATCAAAAGAGGTATATCTCTTGCTTTCTATCTGTCTCGCTTTGTCAAAGTGGGAACTAGAATTTTTTTTAACCAAAATGATGTCGAGATATTTTTCCAAATGTAAAGAGAGACATATAAAACCCGCTTACTATGGTTAAGGCAACCATCATCATCATCGTCGTCATCATCATCAATCTCAGTCGCCTAAAATATTATTATTCGTGAGCCAATAATAATAGCGTTCAAATCTAAACAGCAGTCCAGCCTTGCACCCAACCGCATTGAATTGCTACGCCTTCGCGTGAAGAGCGCATGGGACGAAATATACACGCGTGGAAGAAAAATGGAAAATTTGCAGGATATCAGCTACAGCCGTAGCACAGCAAAGATGGCGTAATACAGCAAAGCGCCTGAGTACAACGCTAGCTACTGAATGGCTAAACTTTTAAATGAGTGTTATACTAGTTTATTCCTTTCAAAACTTATATTTAAATCGAGGTTATACAAGACACCCTGGCCCCACGTTCCCTTTTCCTTGCGCAAATGCACAATAATGGGGACGATTCCCCGATATTGCATGTTTTCATTAAACTTTAACAATTATCTCATTCTCAGTTCTGATTTTTTGTTTAGCTTTATTCAAGAATATGTAAACTGGCTGCATGTCAGACTTTCCTACTTGATAGTCAGTGTCACAGAAACTTCTCTGTCTAAAGAATTTGTAAGGTCAGTCACTTTTGCGCTTTTCTGCTCCACAATGAAGTAGTTTAAAACAACCTCTTTACTCGCTGGCATTCTGTTCACCAGCACGATAACATGGCTAAAGTTTTATTCTCCTCTTCAATTGACTGTCATTTAGTTAGTTAGAGCGCTGCAACGGAATCGCAGAACCGCGGGGTGGATTCCTGCCAGAGGGCCTAAAGCTGTATTCCTCGCAACCTCTCCTCGTCAGGTCTAATAATTATAAAATGTATAAAATTCACACTTGAAATTTCCATAAACCCTCCCACAATTAGTTCTATCGAGTGAGATGCCCCAATCCTGATATTTATGTCATTTAGAGCGTTTCCTCAAAGTAGTTCATGTGGCTGGGACGTCTACAATGTTAAAGATGAATTTCAGAGACAAGAGGTACGTCCTTACTTTTGTCTTGTAGCTAGTGCTGGACGTTAAATGTGATTGGCTGAGTGTTTTTAGCTGAAGCAATTTAAAAGAAAAAAATCGGCCATATTGAAACGTCACGGTTACAAATACAACGACAATGATGTCATTTTTGGTAAAAAATTTATACTCTTCAGGTAGTCTTTCGAATAACTCAGATACTATTTGCTTTTCAACAAGTAACAATCGTTCAAACATTCTGCCATACATCGTAAAATTTTCTCTTGCCAAAAACAGTTGGGTGCCACCTTAAATCCACCTTAAATCCACCTTTGTACCTCATTTAACTCCTTATGTGAGTTGATGGAGGTACAAAATAACACCACTGAATTTACATTAGCTCCCTAATTCAAATTAACAGTGGGAGGTCGAGGGTTCGATTCCCATCGTGGTCAAGTAAGTTTTAATCTTCCTTGATGTGGAGACAGTCAGGGTAGCGTCGTCTGCTATAATTTATCCAAGCTTTAATCCCACCATCGTTAGACATAAAAGAGCACGAAATGGAAGGCAAAGCATTTCTTCATCACACTTACAGTAATTATTCATTTCAAATTATTTTAAACATTTCTTATTTTAGATTCTATTCAACATGTTAGATCCACTTATGATAACTAACATCTCCCTCATTAAAATATACGTTTTTCAATCAAAATGACTTCACTATTGTTCGAAAAATAACATTCCCATATTGGAACATTTTTTACATGTCTCTGTCATACATCCTATTGACATCCCATTTGACGAAGCTTTCATGCCACTCCAGTCAATATGAGGTCAACGTCCGTATTTTTCCAGATAGATGAAAATTGGCGGATGTCTGAGATGAATACAGATTATGAAACTTGTCATTCTTATCCAAGATTTTTCTATGTACCCGCAGGTGTTGAGGTGGGTTATCCAAAACGCTAAGGCTACGTCCACACTAATCCGTTTTCGTATCGATTCAAGTAATTACACCATTGTTCTCTATTCCCTTGTGAACGGAGAGCAACACGAAAACGGATTAGTGAGGTGTTTGCTCATTGAATCGCTCAAATTGTTTTCATAAAATAGAAGTACTCTGCATGTGTATTTTGGAATCCTTCCTACCAGTGTAAAAATGTAGTACCATTCCTGATAAGGCTATAAAGGTGCTGTTACACTAAGCAACCTGTCTCGGAACTTGTCTCTCAATTTTAAGAAAAACGATTTCAGTATTGCATTGCAAGGGATGTTACTCCAAGCAACACGTTCCATGCAACTTGCAATGATCATTATTAAAAATAGCATAAAAAACACGAGTGCCAACGTTTGGCGCCAGATTGACAGTCAAAAGCCAATAGGAAGTCATTCCGTGTATAAACATTGCGAGACTAGTTGCAAGAGGGATGTTACACTGTGCAATGCTTTAAAAATGCGTTGCCGCAATCGTTGCAAAAAGTAGAACCTGATTCTACTTCGTGCAATGGTTGTTGCAACAAAAATGTTGCGAGACTTGTTGATTGAAAGGCATGATATACACCTTGCAATTTCGCATGCAACTTGTGTCGCAACAAAATTGCGAGACACGTTGCGAAACAAATTGCTAGCCTCCTCCGCAGGCATCGTTTTCCTCCCATGTTTTGTTCTCGCCAGTCCTAAAACTATTTCGCTTGAAGCTCGGCCAAAGTTTGATTTCCAAAGTTTGATAAGACAATACAGAGTTGCCTGCGGAGGAGGCTAACAAATTGCATAGTGTAACAGCGCCCTAACACTCGTTAAAATTGTTGGCAAGCAATTCTTGGTTTTCACTTGACGTCGTGGAGCTCAACATGACCGCCATATCTTTGTCTTATAAATCCCAATAGATTTATTGCAAACCACCAATTCACAATATTGGATATCTCACTGTTGTTCTAGTTTGCAAAAGTAATAAACATGTGGGTTATATTTATGAATTATTAACTCGTGGACATTGGTGTTCGTTACCATGATTGTCCCATTATCCAACGCAATGATATTCTCGTATCGTCTGCAAGTTACGTCTTTTGCTCTATTTTGTGTGAATTTGACAAAAAGATTTTTTGTTTGCGATTCTAATTTGGTTTTTGTTTGCAATTCTAATCTCGTGAAATTCTCTTTCGCAGCTTTTGAATCCCTAGATATTGGCTTGTACATCACCTATTCTGTATAAACGTCAAACGTTAGCTACAATCAGTTTCAATTGTCTTGGGACAGATGCCACAAAACCCCTGAATTTCAACAAACGTCAATCCCCCCGCCCCCTGTTCAATGTTTGTCCCATTTCTCGTCAGGTTTGATGTGTTTTGGTTTAAGCAACATTGATTGGGGAGGGGGAGAGGGGAGCGATATTGTGTGTAACAAACTGTAATGATCCATTTACAATCTAAAACTGCATTGTGTCGCAAAAACTTTTGAAAGTGATTGTTGTTAATTTGCCTATATACATATACAGTAATCAGCCGTTGAAGCTAATCTTATCGGGTTTTCCCATTAAGATCGTTCTTTTGACATAAACAGACAAAAAGAATGAGCATCTGCCTTTGGCTCTTTGTGATTCCCATCTGTATATTCTTCTCAAAATAAAGGTTAAAAACCACTTTCATAATAAAGACGGATGTAAATGTTCTTTGATGTCCATCTTGCCCTCGTTTCTGTGGCTGACGTTTCAATCTGTGCTTGAACCAGACCAATTAGAAAGCTTTTTAAGATGCACATAAAAGAATAATTATTTGAATCCGTCCGTCTCTATTATGAGAAACGTCCATGTGTTTATACAATTTATACATTATCAAATAGGATGGAATTTTACGAAAGTGTGCAGATTTCAGAAGCAAGGTATGTCAGTACAGTAGTATAAACTGCATGCTAAATACGATTAGGCTTTTTAGACGTCCGTTTTTGTCGAATATAATTTGTTGAATTTAATGCTGCTGAGTTTTCATTCTGGAGGGGAGTGAACTTTTCAAATATAATTTCATTTGATGCAGCACAACAAGTGCGACAGCAGGGGCGTAGGAAGCAAGGGGCTAGGAGGGGGGGGGGGGATCTCCTCCTAATATTTTATAACAGAGGTCAGAATAGCTTTCAACTGAATTTCAAACAACTCACGGATAGCACAGACTCGCAAATTATAAAGAAAGAATTGATGAGAGAGGCTGAAATCCCGTCGAGTACAATTCAGAAGCATTTATTTCAGCAAATTAAATTCGATGGAAATTCGACGAACAACAGGCTTTAAGCCGGTTTTCCACTTCGCCCGTATCGTACCGAAACGTACTGGTGAGCATGCGCAGATTGAAAAGAGGTTTATAAATCCACGTACTTCCGGCTGTATTCGCGTATCAAAATAAAAAGTTCGTCGCAAGTCAACTTTTTGGCGTACTACGGAAGTATTAACCAATCAACATTCACTAAATTTTGAAATTTAAAAACGTTTTTGATACGTTTCGGTACGACGCTTGAAGTGGAAAACCGGCTTTACGCTGCTATATACAGTGTATTTAATTTAAAATTGTTCAATTCATTAATTGTGAATCCATTATTATAGGGTCGTTTACCAGTTTTGTGTTGGTTTAATAAAAAGAGAGGAAATTTTATAATGCGGTGTGCTCAGCCACGAACTGGACCAAGAAAGAAGGTACTAAAATTAACCTAGAAGCAGCTCTAAAAGATACGAATTATGGCAAGTTCATGTGTCATAAATTTCTCGCCCGGCTCTGCATGTCAGGCGCTATGTCATATTATTCGCACTTTTGTGCATCTGGGCCGGATAGTGCTTTTTTTCAGCCGTTGTAACGTTGCTTGAAAAGTGATTTTAAAACTAACGAATATGGATCCTACAATTAATAAATGGAAACTTTAACAAAAAATCACTCTCCAGTACTATCTGGCTTTCATACAACCGGCCCTAGAGAAATACATGAAATGCAAGACACGCTTAAGATTTCGTCTGTGGGTACGTTTCCACGTATATACGTATTAGAGAGTTTACGATTCACGACGCGGCGAGAGAAGACGCGTTAAAAAGGCTTGGTAACTAGCGCGGCCCAAGCCGCGTCGTCTTGTTCTGTTCCCCACGGTACGAAACACAACGCGCTAGCGTAAAACGTTTATTTCGGCGGGGAAATTATAGGCTTTTCGACTACGCGTTGGAATTACACAAGACGCGCTGGCCGCGCTAGTTACCAAACCTTTGTAACGCGTCTCCTCTTGCTGCGTCGTGAATCGTAAACTCTCTAATATGGCTCTGTGTCCAAAATTGCATATTTAGCTAACGTTTCTTTATACCCAATGACAACTTTAGATAAGTTATATGCGTAGTTACTACTATTCTAGTTTATGCATGAGGAGCATGGAATAGAGCAAAGGTAACTAAGCATTAGAATTATGTAATACTATATATATACATGAGAAAACGACTCTTACACATCATTTTAATACTTAGTTACCATTGCTCTATATTCTCTGCTTCTGTGAACTAGAACAATAGTTACTATAGGCATGTGAGTTATCCAAAATTGTGAATTGGGTAGCAAGTTGGGTAAAACTTTCCTCGTGTAACTTAGTGTATCATTCCTTCTCTAGTTCAGTGCAGATGATGAATACGTAATTCAAACAGCGTTAGCCTCAAACACGGCTTCCCGAAGTTTAGTGATATTTGACGCAAGATCTGTAATTGCTGCTTCAGGAAACCAACTTAAGGTGTGGAGTTGAAAAGAAATGAATTTAAGATGTAACCAAGTTTTGTAATTTGCGCTGCAGCATTCAGTATGCAATGACCCATGACCTTTTCAGAAATGTAAAGTATGAGGTGGAGATTGGGGGGAGAGGTGTAGTTGTCTCCTATCGGCACTCTAAAGCCCCGTACGGACGAGCAAGTTTTCCTTGACGAGTCTTGTTGCTCGTGTGGACGGAATGCTGTTAAACATTTACCTCACGTCAAAGCCGCCTTCTATTTGCCAGTATTCTTCTCCACTTGACAAGTTTTCCTTGGCGGCCGTATACATGCGAACAAATTTTCTTTGCTCAAAAGCTGGCTTATTAACTAGCTTTGGAACAAGGCAAGGAAAAGTTCAATTGTTTGGGCGAACAGACGAGCAAATAAAACTTTTCAAGGAAAGATTGCCCGAGAAATGTTCTGTATTTTCAAAATCCTTATACAATGGAATAGCATGGATCTTCGTTGGAAATAGAATGGAAATCCAATATTCATACTAATTAGCCATTTCCCAAAGTCCTGGGTCTAGTCGCGCGAATCCCATGTTGGAGGAACAATAAATATGGCAGCACACATTTAAATTAAATGTTTAATGTAAAAAGGAGATATTTCATTTTTGGTCGTCTAAAAAGTTGATATTTGATGGTAGATACTTCTACTCTTTCACATATTTGACGCCAGCTGTCACCATATATTTTGTCCCTCCAAACGATCCCAGAATGCACTGTGATCTCTTTTGGGAAAAGGCTAATTGCAAATTCCATAGTATGAATTCCGTGTGATATCTTGTTGAAACGCCTTTCTGTACTACTATATAGGGTAAAGGAACAGAGGATATAGATCGCTACCCTGGTTGTAAGCTAACATTTCTTAATATTCCAAACATACATGCGGTGCGAGATAGTCTGGAGAAACTTCAGACAGCTTGTCAAACATCAGAAAGGAAATGGTTTTCACAACTGGAAGCTTCTGGCTGGATGGCGTATATTGCCTTAATTCTGCAGGTAATTTTTATGTACGACTTTCAAGCTGAGAGACCCGGGTTCAATCCTTGATCGCACCTCTAGTCAAGGTCCTAAAAATAATTGAGGGGAAAGTGCTACCTTTACATTGACATCAGTAAATGGTTAGTAAATGGATAAGGACGTTACAACCTCGGACCCAGGGGCCGTAGTGAGGGGGAATTGGGGGGGGGGGCTTAACCCCAAACTTTTTTAGAATTAACATTCGGAAAATCGGGTTGGCCATTCGGAAATTACGACAATAATAGTATAACAAAATTTTAGTACTAGTTGTTTAAACAGAGAAAATATTATAAAATTGTATTGTCAGTATAAACTGATTTATGAAATCAAGGCATTTACATGGATAACATTTAACAAATTGTAAATCTGTAAATGTTTTTCGGTTTATTACTTCTCAGGGCCGTAGCAACCGGGGGGGCTGCAGCCCTCACAATAATTTGCTAATAATCATTCTTTTTTCAATTCATATCATTTAAATAATATACCCTTAAAATACTGACAATTGCATGATTAAAAAGTCTGTTTTCTGACCATCAGAATTCCGTCAAAACTTCCCCCAAAGTCCAGGAAATGGCATTTCAGAGACCCTAAATTTAGAAATTTCCTGGGGCCTTCGGCCCTCGTTCTCAGCCCCCCAATCAGGAAGAGCTTCCTACGTCACTGCATGCTTCTGTAATATGTCTGTGCGTAAAATATGTGTATTTTTGTTTGTAAATTGCGTTTTCATTTTCCGGATAGCACCTTCGTGGCTTCGTATGCCATGAAATATTCGGATTTTTTTTTCGTCATTCGGAAATTTTTGGCCTACATCCCCCCAACTATACATGCTAGCTACGGCCCTGCTCGGATCCCCTATCAATTGGGCAATAGCCCGTTCGAAATCCGCTCACTAATGAGTGAGAAACTCAATAAACAAACAATAAACAAGAAAAATCATAACTGCTTCCAATATTGATAATTTCAAGGTGTCACACTGTCGGTTACAGCTGTTTAGTTACTAAATTTGTTTTGTCTGATTAGATATATTTGGGAATTCTTTCATGATTTGGGGTGCTCAATCGAGTCATTGAGCACGCAGGATGTTGGGAGAGTACGGGAAAGCATAAGAGTAATAATGTTCGAGTCGCTTGCCGAGACCAACTCTAGCGCTTGAGAGCTATTCCAGCTTCCCAGGTGCTCAATAGTGAGCTTAAGCAAGTGACGTTTTTGACAACACGGACGTCGACCGGAAGTAAAGTTGACGTTTTTCACCAATCACAGCCCTTGACCCAGTCTTCTGACGTTACTCATCCCGTTCGTGTTGTCAAAAACGTCACTTGCTTAAGCTCACTAATAATTCGATTGACCACGCCAGATCATGAAAAGATTCTTAATTTGTGCATGGCCTGCATGTCCGTTTGCTTGATATAATACAAATTTTGGCAAAGCTTAATCATTGATTGATTAGTTGATTACTGATAGAATAACTTTGACCCTTAGGGCGCCATCTCAATCGTCCGCCATGTTGACGAGAAAGGAGTAGCAGCTCTGATTCACTGTAGTGATGGCTGGGACAGGACAGCGCAACTCTCTGCTTTAGCGCAGATACTCCTTGATTCGTTTTACAGAACTATTAAAGGATTCCAGGTTTGTTTTATTTCGGAAAAGAGAAAATCACGTTTAAGGGAACCACAATGAGCTGCTTTAAACATAAACAGGACAAATTAATATTAATTTAAAAAACTCAGGAGAAAGCGTGTCGTATCTTTATATGTGATAAAAAATCATGTTAATTTACATAAACTTTAGCTTTGATTTTCACGGTTTAGACAAAGTTTATTTTAAAAATTACTTCGCCAATGAGCTCATATAAGATGAGTCGTTTTTTAAGCCATTTATAAAAGCACTTGTAGTCGTGTTTTATCAGATATAAAACGCTCGCCTGCGCCTCGCGTTTTATATCTGATAAAACACTCACACGTGTGCTTTAAATAGTACATAGCTTTGGTAGGATACAAGTCATTATATTATCTTGTGTGAACACAAATGGGGATTTGGCTCAAAACCCCACTATACTATGAGTCCCCATAGTGTATGTGAATTACTCAACGAGGTCCTCATAATACATGTATATTGTATCAAGAGAACTGAAAGGAGATGACGGAAGCTACCACCGATTATATGCCGCCACCCCTAAAATGTATAATATAAGGAGCCACATTAATTTTGTGACTAGCCTGCACCGCAGGCGGTGATGTTTCCCGCCTTCCTCCTGCCGCTAACACCGCTATATACGTTGTGACTCAAATCACCCGCAATAAAGTCGGCAGACTGGATTCCAGCCAGCTTTCTTCCTTCCGACTATTATATCCACCTTTATTATATAGTGTTTACTTTATTCAATCTGTCTCCCTGAATGTACTATATACACAGGTTATATTGGTTTATTAAGGTCATGTTGCACCACAGCATTTTTTTCTGAAACTTGAAACTTGCAACACAATTTCTAACATAAGAGCGACATTAAAAATTCTTAACAGAAAATCAGTGAGCATCGACAGCATTTCACACTTCATTCTCATTCACTTATTTCATGTTTATGTTAGATGAAGAAAAGGTCAGCGGAGGTAAATTAATTGCGGGGCAAGTTCTCCAATCTATTGTGAATACCTTTTTCATAACATGACTCTGTTGCAGACGTTGCGTTGCAAGTACAGTAGCTTGCGCGTGCAGTCACATGACACTGCGCGCATGCAGCCATGCAAAATCTAGCAGTTCTAGCAAAATTTACCTCGTATAACGTGACACGACCTCTAGATAAAGTCTATCCATGATTGTTTAATATGCCTTATGTAGGTTCTTATCGAAAAGGAGTGGATATCATTTGGGCATCGCTTTCGAGACAGAAATGGCCACCCGTCGTCCAACAGCAACCAACGATCACCAATATTTGTTCAATTTCTAGACTGTGTTTGGCAGGTATGGTTCAGCTGCGCTGAAGATTCATATATACTAGGTTTAAAGTCATGCTTCACATATAAGTTATGAATTTAGTTATGAATATTCTCATAGTTATAGCACGTACGGTGATGGAGTCAATTTCTGCAATATGTAAGAATTAAGTTAAACCTAATTAAGTTAATCGCCACGGCCTTTGCGTACCATGTTTTGTAAGGTGAGTTTTCTGATATAAAAAAAATGTGTCGGCAAAGATGGTTAGCCCAGCAAGTTTCTCTCGTGTGTGGGATGTTGAAAAGTGTCGCTGATTCTCGAACTCTTGAATGGCCCTTATACTTCATACGCGTGTAATATTTTTAAATTTTTGGACCAGGAACTGGTTCCCAATCCCTGCTAATCTTCTTCTCCTCCCTCTTTCTTCTACCTTCTTCTTCTTTCTTTCTTTCTTCCTTCTTCTTCCTTCTTCTTCTTGAGTCCCATCGAGCCGAAAATTGTTTTATAAAATAACAACTTTCCGTGTTAAAATTTCACTTTAAAAAACTTTCACTTTAAATTACCGTGTTTGGATGGCCTGATCCTGGATGGATTACCGTGTTTGGATGGCCTGACTTGTAGTCGTGTTTTATCAGATATAAAACGCTCGGCTGCTCCTCGCGTTTTATATCTGATAAAACACTCCTACGCGTGCTTTAAATAGTACTTAATACGTCAAATTTGACCAATCAACATGTAGGATTTGTTATGTTCACTTGTGCAAAAGTACTAATATCCAATTTATTGATTAATTGAATAGATTTTGTTAACAGTGAAGGCTATGAAGCACAGTTAATGCCTAACAGCTGTAAGAGTCACAATTTAAGTGCTGTTAAACCAACTAAATTTTATGACAGTGTTTTCAAAGAAAATGCCCCCGGCCTAAATTTGATAACAGTGTTTTCAAAGAAAATATTTCCCCCCTGGCCTAGGATCCAAGAAAGGCTAGAATTATTTCCAGGTCCGACTTACAAAAATGCCTCGCGAAACAATGCAAAAGTTTGAGTTCTAAAACGATGGATGAACGTGGTGACCAGTTCCTGGTCCCATCATGGATAATAAAATAAATGGATAGGAAACTAGCTGACGTGACCTAATGTTTTTAATGGGCTGATGGCGTGGTTGGATGCCTCAACCTAGTTGAAAACCAAATTCTCAAAAACGGCATGTTTAGCAATAATACAGCTAAACATTTTAGTCAAGGAGCAAATAAATATAACCACGCCATTCTACCATGAAAACTTTAAGTATTCCCATTCAATTTTAGCAAATATTTCAAGCACTAAACAGTGAAAAATACATCGCAAATTTCGTTAAAATTTGTGAAACCAATTTCGTAGCTACAAATGTAAAAAAAAATACAAAACAAAGACGAAAAACATTTACCTTGAATACTTTGTCGTGGCTTAGGCATGTTTTTAAAACAATTAGACCAGTTTATGCTTCAATATCACCCTTTTAAAGTGGAAAATATAGCAAAACAACAAAAATGCCGAGAACTTTGGTAACATTCGCAATACGCGTGACGTCACGTTTTTCAACAAGGATGCAGTCAAAGACGTCAGGAAGTTTCCTATCCAGCTATTTTACAATCCATGGTCCCATGTAGGATCGTTAATGAATTCCACATGTTTCCCATCGACTTATCCAATTTTGTGTTGTCATTCAGATATTAATCCAGTTTCCCAGCTCATTCGAATTCACTGCGGAATATCTCCTAAGGATAGTTGATCACGTGAACACTGGATGGTGAGTACTTATACACACGCGTAAAAATCTCACGACTTGTCAACACACGTAGAAACGCGCAAGCTATTACAGACTGATCTGCAGGAAAGTTGTAAAAATAAGGCTGCTATCAAGCCGATAGCAGTATGTATTCGCACTGCTGGTTCCCAGTTGTTGTGACAAGACAGTCTGGAACAAGTTGTTTTCACCTAATTGTTACAAAGTTGGTGACGGAACAGACTTGCTGCAAGTTGTTCCAACAAGACTATATGCCGTTCGTAACAAGTTGCTACGAGCTTGTTGTCATCAACTTGTTAACAACTTGTTACGTGCAGACGATATCAGACTTGCTGGAACAACTTGTTGCGAGTCTGTTGGCTTCAACGACCTTTATTGTACAAGCTATGAGATTTCTACGCGCGAACAAGATGTGTTCGCAGCAGCTTGTGAACAAGTTATAACAATGCTGTCATTTTTCAATTCGCTATACAAGGTTGTCACTTAACTTACAGCTTGTTAACAAGTTGTTGAGTTGCAGGACGAGAACAAGTTGCTTGTAGTAAGTCTGGTAAAGTCAACAACTTGTAGCAAGTTGCCAACAAGCCGACCCAGCGGTTGCCAACACATTTATAGACGCTTTCGCTTGCATATCTTGGCAGGCCGTATCCTTTTCTGATTGAGTAATTTATCTTTCAGGCAAATGCAGGGTGCGAACTAACGGTCAACAAATGACAGATCGTTATATACAAGAAAGCAGTTTTGGAGAATTTAGCGGCCTACAGGTTCAAAGAAACATTTGTAGGCTAGCTTAAATTCAGTTTTAAACACTGGAAATCTCTTGCCGAATGCCTGGTCAGCGGTTTCTGACAGCGAAAGAAACATAAATTAAAACTAAGCAACCCCAAATACCTTTCATTACAAAACATCAAAGGAATAATAGAAAAATTGTAGGTCAAAATCGAAATATCTATAGGTCAAACGTAGCATGGTATACAATTTTTGAAAATAATTGTATGCCAGAAAAAGTTCTTTATTCGCACCCTGGAATATTCTTAGTTAATATGCATGCTTTGCATGGCCTGTTTGCCCTCCCTCAGCAAAAATGTCTCGCAAATTGTAATGTCAAATTGTCGTCTGATTCTAGACTTGGTTCAAGTCCTTCTCAGGAGAAAAGTACGGAGAGACGGACTTAGGACATTTCCAGCATTTCGAATGTTACTTGCAAAAATTGGCGCGAAAATTTGTTGCTCTCAACTCGCAAGCCACGCCTCAGTAGGAAAAATCCGACGGTAAAATTTGGCGCGCTTGCAGGGTATCCAAGTCCGTCTCTCCCACTTTTCTCTCAAATTTTCGCGCCTTTTTTCACCGCTCGCGTGCATCGCTATTTTCAACCCCTTGAGAGACAGGCTTTAACCAAGTCTAGTCTGATTCATGTATATTTTGTTTAAATTTAAATCAATCGTCAAAGGTTTGGTACCTTCATGTGTAATAATGAGAAGCAACGAAATGAAGAAGCAAAGTCCCTCAGTACAATCTCATTGTGGGCACACCTGGATAATATCAGAGAAGTGTTTCAAAATGAAAATTATATTCCAGATGATGAGGTAATTAACGGATTTCTACATGACCAAATATTTGTTGTCATTATAGTTAACAATTATTCACCGAAGTCGAGGTCAATAGTGCCAGAATATTCACCGAAACGCGAAGCATTGAGACATATGCCATAACAAAACAAAACAAAACAAAACAAAACAAAACAAAACAAAACAAAACAAAGTATTTTTTAAATAAATTGTATTGCAGCTTCAAACATACCTCCACAAGTTGCCAACCTTGTTGTAGGGACTCAATATGAAAAAAAAATTTTGAAAATATCTGAGTTTCCTATTTCTTCGTTTTCATGAATGTTTCGAATGAATTTTTGCAAAAGTCTCTTTCGTTCGCTGATCACAGAATCTTTTACGTTTCCGGTGATTTTCTTTTTTGGAAATTTAATAGTTGTAAACAAAACAGTATTTATTTAAAGCTTTTAGAAATTTTATCCATTAGAAGTACCTTTAAGAAATACCTCCACACACTGTTAAACAAAAGTTTATGCCTTTCTTCGTTCGTGTTTGGCAGCTTCGTTTAGTATACAAATATTTGCTCGTCTGTAACCGGAACGAAACGGGAAGCCATTTTGTTTTTTTCCGGAGATGAATAGCGAAAGAATGATTGTTGCATCTTAAAATCTTTCTCTTACTGTGAGCTGTGAGGAGCGTAGTAGTCATACATACACGTACAATTATTGTGTTTTTATAGCGTTCTGTCGTAGTTAAAAGTACGATCAAATACGTGTAGCTTTATCTCGTTCAAGCCTGTATGCGATTTATTTAGTATCATCTCCAATTTTTAATCATCAAGCTTATATATTCATAATTATGTTGTTTTCAATACAGCTTATTCTATGATTCTTTTATGCCATGCAGCATTGTTTCAAATCTATATAGAAGAGCACCCGGCATGATTAAACATATCTATCTTACTATAGGTATTACATCCAACATCAAGTTTGCGTCGTCTCCCTCTCTGGTCTGACTACTATTTACGTTATGATGAAACATTCTGGGCAGCCAACCAATTATTCGACTACGGACAACAGACTGACACCGATGAGGTAAAAAGTTCTTGTAATTGATTATTTCTGTATGCATGCATCATGTGTATTTTCGTTTAATTTTGTATGGGTTGGGTTGGGTTGCCTCAAAGTATTCACCAACATCGGTTAATTCGTAAATATCAGGATTTTTGGGTATCTCTCACTCGATTCAACTAATATTGAAGGATTTTTGTAGATGGAAATTTCGAGTGTGAATTTTATCCATTTATCCCCAAGCCGACGGCGCGAGCGCCGTGCGAGGGTACTAATTCCCCCCAGCTATTTACACCCGGGGAAACGAAAGCATCAGGGAAGTCTAAAGTTCATCAATTATCGCGGGCGTGGGTGACCAATGGGTGGTCATCCTCACCGATCTCAAAAATATGGCGGACTGTCATGAATAGCGGACACTGATTGGTCCAATTTAAAGTTTGCATTATAACGACTGCATGACGACACC